GAGGAGAAAGGATTGGGCTCATGGACTAGACCTATATATAATGAAGTATTGGGCTGAATAACAAATAGCCCAGCCCAAAAAATTAAAAAAAAAAAAAAAAAAAAGAGGAAGAAGAAGATGAACTAGAGGAGAAAAGGCAGAACCAAACCAGGCGCCGGCGGTGGCCATCTTTTCCCAAAACTCTTCTACCGGAGCCCAGCATGCGAGGCCGTACACCCTGGTCGGGTCTTGGGTCCGCCGCTGCATGTAAGATTTGTTACTTTTTCTTAATTTTAGCAAATTATAGGGGGCTTCAACTGCAATACAGAAGTTTATTGAACCTGCAAGTGGGGAGCAAAAGTAAGCAATAATAAAACAAGCATTGCATGCTTGAGATAATATGATTGCGCGTGGAAAACTACAATTAGATTGAGAAAATAATAAAAAGAAAGGGCAGGACCAAGCAAAGCCCACTACAGTGACGGGCCGACCCAAGCCTCCCACGGGCAATGCGGGGCCTAGAGATGTGAAGGAGTGATGTTTCATAGTCAAATGGTTCACTGCAAGCAAATTTAGCTGATTTTTAAGTACTGGAAAATCTTAAAACTCTAGGAATTGCATAAATTATTTTAGAAATTATCTAATTTACTGTTGTTACCCCCCAGAATTAGAAGCTCCAAGTCAGCAGTCCGCGTGGACAGTTACGTATTCCCTTTAGCCAATTGGACAGAAAGTCAGTTGAAAAGTCAATGGGGGAGTCAACACAGGCAAGGTCAACAAAAGGCTCATAAGTCCGAAGCTACTTCATGTGAAAGTAGAGGCTCCTTGAGTCTGAAGCTCCTTCATGTAAAAGTAGATGCTTCTAAGTCCGAAGCTCCTTCATGTGAAAGCATAGGCTCCTTGAGACTGAAGCTCCTTTGTTCAAAGGCAGAGGCTCCTAAGTCCGAAACTCCTTCATGCGAATGCAAAGGCTCCTTAAGACCGAAGTGCTGAAGCTTAACGCGGACGTTTCCTCACAGCAGATTCGAATTTCTCTCAGAACTGATTGACGTGACATCTGCCATAAAGTGCCCGTAGCATTAATGTGTGTCAGTGAGTCAGTCTACAAAGTAGAATGACGGATCTTCTGCAAAACATTAATTGTAAAGATTGGACATTGATGTAAGGCTTCAGTCTAGGGGATGTCGCCACATAAATTTGATCCGACGGTCACCACGTCAGCTAAATTAGTATAAATAAACCCCTCTTTATATAGAATGGGGGACCGAGAATCACAAAATAACATATTACGCACTTTGCTTTGCTTGATCTTGGGCAATACAACCTATATTGAGATCATAATACATTACAAGATATTCTCTTTTATCTATCCTTCTACATATTCCCCTACAAAACAGATATTCATTTTAGGGTAATCGATTGAGTTCTTGTTGATAGCGCAAGGGCCGTTTACATCAAACAAGTGGAGCTTGAACAATTGTGTCTCTTGTCGAAAAGCACCTCCCGCGTTCCATCCAACCATACTACCGCTCCTGTTCCGGTAGAAACGCGCCGGATCATTGCTTGATGTGGCAAGGGTGGGCCCGGTATCTGTTGAGTTTATTTTTTGGAGTCAACAACTGTAATATGTTATCTCCGTGTAGGAGCCGAAGTCACGTGTTGTTGCAATGAAAGATAAGGTTCAAATTGTTTCAACATACAGAACCTTATCAAACAAGACCAATGCATATTCGAATTCAAAGAATTCCAACTTCGAAAACATTAAGCAGTAGCAATCGAGAGTTTTATAGAACACTAAAAATTTATCGGATTACATTTCAATTATCGTGTTTCTTCTTGAAAAAGTTGCAGTTTCTTCAACAGGAGATGATTCTGTAAATTTTTCAGTGTGAATTTTACATCCTCAGGTATGACAATCATTTGTTGCACGAGGGCAGCTCTATAAAAGAAAACCATGCTCCATTAATGGAATCTGAGCAAAACTCTCAAAAGTAATATCAAACCTCTCTAATATTCGCTTTAAGCAGAAATAAACTCCTTTGCTAACTTATATGTGGTACATACCGAATATAAGGATCAAGGATGAAAAATCGTAACTCGCTTCTGTGCTCCAGATATGATAGTGGCAAATGGTACAATCTCTCGGGAAATCTGCTTGAAAGCTACAAACTTAACCTGATTAGGAAGAGAAGTCATACACTTGTATAACAAAGTAACCTCATTCATCGCATCAGAAGCTGGAATGCTTCGTTATCGCTTTCTAGTTCATACTCGTATCCAAGACTGTTGGCACGGTTCCTGAACTCATCCATCTCAGTGCGAGCAACTTGAATCCCAACTAACATATTTGCGCCAGTTTCTCCCTATACACACGGTGACCAGATGAATTGTGCTAGTCATATATGGATTAATATGATGAGATTAGATAAGGTTTGGAGAAGCAACCTGTCCCCGATAGTGGAACAAACTTATATTCCAACATGGACTCAGAGCATCCGAAAATTTCATCAAAGCTCCTGGTCTTTCCCGAAAAACAAAATGGCAAAGAAGCTCGTCTTTAACATTTGATCGGCCTCCCATCTGAAAAATATCGAAAAATGAAGTCAAGTCAGCACACTCATACTTCCCTGATGAGTAATGCGTACTCAGATACTCTACGCAATATCCTTTTCAAGTGGAAGTGGAAGGAACTCTAGTTACCTTGTCATCAAGAACAAAACTGATGCTCATTTGACTTTAAAAATGAAAATTGTCCTCATTCATCGAATACCTCATAGATAATTATATGCAAAAGTATGATGACCAAATGCATCAACACCTAAGTAGCGTAATTCATTCCCCCGTGAAGATTTTGAGCTTTAGAGCACAAATTAGTATGCTGCAACCAAATTATAGTACACAAAAAACTATCAAGATTAAATTGCAATTTCCCTAATCCAATTAACATAATTTCGTTCTATATTTTATACAAGTAATAATGTGTGGTCCACGGGTCATTATGATGTAGAAAGCCTCGCATACATAGTAGCGTGACAGGAGCTTTGGTTTTGTAAGAGATTAGTGGCTTCTCGATCAGTTTATCTTTTACTAATGCAAACTAATAAAAGGTTTCGCATAATGTTTCTTCCCAGGACATGTTTATCTTTAGAAAATCAAACTAGACATGTTCAAAATATCCCATGACATACGATGTGTATTATATTACATTAAGATAAACATGCATGATGCATCCATCTCTCAGTCTATATAATATTACAGAATGCTTCATGATTCAAATGCGTTGAAATACCCATAGTTCAAAGTGCAATTTGTTGTTAGAACTCAAAGATGGGATAATTCGTGCATACAAATCAGATAAACTATGCACTTACATTGTCAATGAAGAGTACAAAATAGATTAACATCTAGAAGTCATTTTACAAATAAAGACAGAAAGATTAAAAAAGATAATTACCAAGTGGCGCAAATGGTCTTTGACCAAGTCATTATTTGTAAGGTTACTGGTTTGTAGCTGCGCTGATTTCATCCTCTCCATCATTGCTTCAAGTTCTTATTTTTTGTGAAGGCCAACACTGTAGAAAACAGGAAAAGATAACTATCTAGAAGAATTACTCCCCCCTATATCATTACAGATTGTCGAATTTTTGTCTTGAATTTACATCAGAGATTCTAGCCCGTCCCATATGTTGAGTTGATAGGTCCAAAATAAAAGTTTATTAATGAAATGGATTTTACAATTCTGGATACACACT